GATATGACAAGACTTGGTATCACCCCTAGTTGCATGCCAATATAGAGCTTCCTCTATGGGCAATATTTCTTCTCTCTTCCTATCTTCACCAGTCACTTACCAGACTTTCCATTTACTTCTTTACAACTAGACATTGAAGACTTGGAATACTACTAGAGCCCAAAGCCGTATGGAATGTTTTTTTCCACCGTTCCTCCCCGGATTCCTTTGATAAACATTTTTCAAAGTATTTTTTAACTTTTTTAAACAAAAAAAAAATTTAAAAAAGAAGTAAAACACGTTTGTTAATGCAAAAAGTATTTTTTAAAAACAAAAAAAATATGTTTTTAACTATGTAGAATGCATGTTCATTTTAAAAAAAACACAAGCGCATCTCCTACTAGTTAATGGTACATGCTATAACAAGAAAAGAAATGAAGGAAAAGCTGCAATAGCAATACTAATTGTTCTATTGCAACCTTTAAGAATGGTCTATTGGTCAAGTCTATCTTTTTATAAGCAAAATGTCTCAAGTTTGATACTTTTAACACCCTTTAAGGTCAGCCCACTTATTTTTAAACTAATTCGAGTTACGGTGAACAACTTAAAGTTAAAAAAAAATAGTCAACACAAACTTAGAAGCCCTGTAGCAAAAAAAAAAAAATTGTAATATTGCAAAAGTATTTCTTTTGGTATTTCCAAACTTCATTAAGTATAAGTAGTATAAATAGTGGCAACTTTCCATATGATTCGACAGCTGAACGAAGCATGAAAATGACAACAACGAACACGACAAATAATGGATTAAATAAAGATTCAGCATGAATAACCCTATTTTGGCATGATAGACCAGTTAAATTAATATTTTGTCATACAAATGTATGTTAGTTCAAGTTAACNGATGGTTCACTAGTTACCATTTTCTCTGCCTCATTTGATGATATGGAAGACAAAGGTGCCTAGTGAGATGAAAGTTCGTGCATGGACAATTGGGCATGGTAAAATTAATACTAATGATATGNGATTCGACAGCTGAACGAAGCATGAAAATGACAACAACGAACACGACAAATAATGGATTAAATAAAGATTCAGCATGAATAACCCTATTTTGGCATGATAGACCAGTTAAATTAATATTTTGTCATACAAATGTATGTTAGTTCAAGTTAACTTTGCTGGAATGATTTTTAATTTATGAAGCGTTGGGTTTGGTTCGGAAAGTAATCTTAGCCCTACAATTTCTAGTTCGTAGTTACGCAATACATAAGCACACTACGGACCCAACATTACACGTACATAAAAGGACACAACCCGAATATGACAAGACCCGACTAGATTTGAACAACCAACAGGAAACTCAAAATCTGCTAATGTAAAAGAATAAGTTTGTGAGAGTCAGATATCATGTATCATTAACAACTAAAATTTAACCCTTGTGTAATTGGCTTGTTTTCAAGTTTGCTTGGCTGAACTCCTCTAGCCTTTGATAAAGCTTCTCTAGTAGGCTGCGGCAGATCTGAGGAGAAGTGCAAGGCCCGCACATGAGATAAATGACATTGCCCAGGGGTCTCATGTAAATGCCATCTTCACGGAGCTTCTGAACAAGAGAGTTTGCGTATAGCGATGCATACCTGCCAAAACCCCCGACCCATCAGTCAAAAATTAACTGGAACAAGAAAGCAACGGACACCATATGCAGTGAAAAAACAATGCCATTCCATTGAAATATTAAAAAAAGTGAACTATGGAGAGCTTTCAGCTTATACTTAAACCACAATTAAAACAACGCAATACAATATCAAGTTTCATACTGCAACATAAATTGTTGGAGAGAGGCATTGCTGTCAGAACCACCAAAAATAAGATAAACACAATGCATGCACAAAACACTAAGGTTAAGAAGTGGACACAACAAGAATCAGATGCACAAGCAAAGCATCAAGCATTTCTGAACTCCCTCATCATGAATCCCAAAAATCAACCAGTCGTGATTAATATGGTACATACAATTGGTTAATATGTTATTTGTACAATTAACCAAATGAACGAGAAGCTCAATAAATCCTCTATGAAACAACTTTAGATTAATAGTTATGCCTTGAAGATGTTAAAAACCAGAAGAATGCATGCTATATGTAAAAAGGATATATGACGTAGAGGAAAGTTTCACAACACACTTCAACTTATTCTTTTTTGAGTTCCTGATTNCTCTTATGGGCAAGTCTTTGTGATGTCCTTTTGTCGTAACAAATTAATAGATCTCTATGAAAGATTGGATTGAAATTTACTTAAAACTTTAAGTATTGAATTGTTTAAATTGAAACTTTAGGCAACAAATAAAAATTATGTGCATGCTTTAAATATATAAATTGTAAATTACCCTAAAAAGATTAATAGTTTATAATACACATAACATTTAAGCGTAGATGTGAAAAAAAAACATATTAGTATCTCATGTTGTGGAGGAAAGATTAGTTGTTTTTTGTGAGTTTTGTATTAATTTGAGAGTCTAATCCTCGTTATGAGTGATGTAATTTTACCAATCATTTGGTGCTTTTTGATATTTGCATTTTTTATGTTGCTGTCAAAGATAAAAACAGTTTAGTCCTTCATTCCCTCTTAGTCTAATTTTACTGGTGAATTAGGGTCATTTGGTAATAAAATACAGGGTTATTTTGTAAGTGCATCAAAATTCAAGATGATAATATAAAATGACAAAACATTTGAGGACGTATGTGACATAGAAGTGGGATTACAATGATGGATTTCGTNCTACAGGATTATTTTGTATTTTATAAACAATTAGGGTCATTTGGTAATAAAATACAGGGTTATTTTGTAAGTGCATCAAAATTCAAGATGATAATATAAAATGACAAAACATTTGAGGACGTATGTGACATAGAAGTGGGATTACAATGATGGATTTCGTTTCCCTTTGCCATTCTTTTTTCTTTTGTTTATTCTTTTACGTAGTTTGCTTGAATGTATTATTTTTGATGATGCATAAATTGATATTCTGCAAGATTAACAATCAAGTATATGTAAGGGTGTAATTAATGAATAATTAATAGTAAAATAGTTAATAGTAGCAAACACACAGATTTATAGTAGTTCTGTTCGGATGACCTACTCCACTCTCGGGAATGACAACGGTGACCGGAGATCTTTATTGATGAATAAAAGCCATAGAAAAAATACACTTCTGGAGTGTTACAATGCTTTGAGAGAGAGAAACTAAAGAGGTGTATGAGCTGTTGAGGTGTCTCGAAGTCTCAAGGTGATGTCCTTTATGTGGAGAAGACTTATATTATATAAGTATGGTGAGGTGGTGAGGTGAGACTGTCATTACTTTTTGGTAAGTACAATTAAGATAAGATTAAATTTTCATGAATGCATATCCCAATATTCTCTCCCGTGTGCTCCTATCCTCTAAATTTTTCTGGATATTGGCAAGGTGAGGAAGGATATCACTGGGGCGGTGCTAAGGAAGAGAACATGGAACAAAGGAGAGCCAAGGGACTCTATGGGGGGCGTTAGGTGCTTATGGGCGACTCCTTTGGCCATTGGTGACTTGGGCTCCTCTTAGTTTATTTTTATTAGGTCTGATCCAATTGATTTTAGGCTCCTCAATTATGACCAAAGAAATTAAAAACAAATGGAGGTATGGTGCAAGTATGGCTGACAATTCTTAACGAATTTGAATCGACTAACCAAATTTTAGTTAATAAATAGGTCGACACAAATTTGATTATACATAAACAACTTATACAAAATACATATGTATTATCATGAGTGAGTTGTCTATGGGTTAAACAAACTGGAACATAAAACTTATTATACACATCAGGAATTGAATTAGACGTGATCCAATTCCAAACTCGATATGACAAGACTTGGTATCACTCCTAGTTGCATGCCAATATAGAGCTTCCTCTATGGGCAATATTTCTTCTCTCTTCCTATCTTCACCAGTCACTTACCAGACTTTCCATTTACTTCTTTACAACTAGACATTGAAGACTTGGAATACTACTAGAGCCCAAAGCCGTATGGAATGTTTTTTTCCACCGTTCCTCCCCGGATTCCTTTGATAAACATTTTTCGAAGTATTTTTTAACTTTTTTAAACAAAAAAATATTTTAAAAAGAAGTAAAACACATTTGTTAATGCAAAAAGTATTTTTTAAAAACAAAAAAAATATGTTTTTAACTATGTAGAATGCATGTTCATTTAAAAAAAAAAAACAAGCGCATCTCCGACTAGTTAATGGTAAATGCTATAACAAGAAAAGAAATGAAGGAAAAGCTGCAATAGCAATACTAATTGTTCTATTGCAACCTTTAAGAATGATCTATTGGTCAAGTCTATCTTTTTACAAACAAAATGTCTCAAGTTTGATACTTTTAACACCCTTTAAGGTCAGCCCACTTATTTTTAAATTAATTCGAGTTACGGTAAACAACTTAAAGTTCAAAAAAAATAGTCAACACAAACTTAGATGCCCTGTAGCAAAAAAAAAAAAAAATTGTAATATTGCAAAAGTATTTCTTTTGGTATTTCCAAACTTCAATAAGTATAAGTAGTATAAATAGTGGCAACTTTCTATACGATTCGACAGCTGAACGAAGCATGAAAATGACAACAACGAACACGACAAATAATGGATTAAATAAAGATTCAGCATGAATAACCCTATTTTGGCATGATAGACCAGTTAAATTAATATTTTGTCATACAAATGTATGTTAGTTCAAGTTAACTTTGCTGGAATGATTTTTAATTTATGAAGCGTTGGGTTTGGTTCGGAAAGTAATCTTAGCCCTACAATTTCTAGTTCGTAGTTACGCAATACATAAGCACACTACGGACCCAACATTACACGTACATAAAAGGACACAACCCGAATATGACAAGACCCGACTAGATTTGAACAACCAACAGGAAACTCAAAATCTGCTAATGTAAAAGAATAAGTTTGTGAGAGTCAGATATCATGTATCATTAACAACTAAAATTTAACCCTTGTGTAATTGGCTTGTTTTCAAGTTTGCTTGGCTGAACTCCTCTAGCCTTTGATAAAGCTTCTCTAGTAGGCTGCGGCAGATCTGAGGAGAAGTGCAAGGCCCGCACATGAGATAAATGACATTGCCCAGGGGTCTCATGTAAATGCCATCTTCACGGAGCTTCTGAACAAGAGAGTTTGCGTATAGCGATGCATACCTGCCAAAACCCCCGACCCATCAGTCAAAAATTAACTGGAACAAGAAAGCAACGGACACCATATGCAGTGAAAAAACAATGCCATTCCATTGAAATATTAAAAAAAGTGAACTATGGAGAGCTTTCAGTTTATACTTAAACCACAATTAAAACAACGCAATACAATATCAAGTTTCATACTGCAACATAAATTGTTGGAGAGAGGCATTGCTGTCAGAACCACCAAAAATAAGATAAACACAATGCATGCACAAAACACTAAGGTTAAGAAGTGGACACAACAAGAATCAGATGCACAAGCAAAGCATCAAGCATTTCTGAACTCCCTCATCATGAATCCCAAAAATCAACCAGTCGTGATTAATATGGTACATACAATTGGTTAATATGTTATTTGTACAATTAACCAAATGAACGAGAAGCTCAATAAATCCTCTATGAAACAACTTTAGATTAATAGTTATGCCTTGAAGATGTTAAAAACCAGAAGAATGCATGCTATATGTAAAAAGGATATATGACGTAGAGGAAAGTTTCACAACACACTTCAACTTATTCTTTTTTGAGTTCCTGATTTATGATTCACTAGTTACCATTTTCTCTGCCTCATTGATGATATGGAAGACAAAGGTGCCTAGTAAGATGAAAGTTCGTGCATGGACAATTGGGCATGGTAAAATTAATACTAATGATATGTTTCAAAGAAGAAGACCTCAAACTTGTCTTTCTCCACAGTGGTGTGCTAAGTGCTGTGGTGATTGCAAAAGTATTAATCATTTGTTCTTACATTTGCCCTATTCCTTTATATTTGTGGAACAAGTTGTTTTCACTGGCAGGTTTGAGTTGGGTTCCTCCTTGGTCTTTCTCCACTTTGTTTGTGGAGGACTTTAAAGGATTTGGACATAAATCTGAAGGAGTTACACGATGTGGGCTATTTGGTTGGAGAAGAATGCCTGAATCTTTGAAGAAAGATGGGAGAGCGTAGATGGTCTATGGAACTGTATTGTTTTCTTGGCTTCGGTTTGGGCATCAGTCCCTAAAGATTTCGAAGGAATTCCACTTTTTTGTAATTTTTGTGGGATGGAGGGCAGTTTTTGATTTATAGTTGTTGGACCTCACTTAAGTTGTCCTTTGATTTTTGTCTTGTATCTTATCACTTGAGGGTTGGACTTCTTGTCCAACTTCTCTTTTTATGATGTACTTTTTCGTATTATTATGAATATAATAATGGATTCTCAAAAAAAAAAAAAAGTCTTCGACTTATTGTTGGAAAGAGTATGACAAACTAGAATTGTCACAGAGCGGCTAATAACAATGTTCCCCCTAAAAGTGTGGTAGGTTAATCCTTAAAAGTGATACAAGCATACATCACTGTTGTAAATGTGGCATCTGAGTACGAAATTAAATTAGGTCAAAGTTAGGAAGCAAGTTAGGAGATAATACCCAGCATTACAGCCTTCAGCTCGAAGTTCTACGGCACAAAGGGTTCCCAACGCAACAACTCTTTGGATTGCTGGATGTAATGAGATATTCTGAACTAGTTCCAAATCCCATAACTGCAACCATTCAAAAGCCAAAAGCAATTATGCAAAAATGATAAGTAACACAATTAGAGCATGATGTCTACCAATTATTATTTGAACATGATTGTACTCGTTTGTCTGAATCTTCTTTTCAAAAATATCTCACTTTTTCTATCAAGTTCTACTGTTGTAATCAAAATTTAAAATATTGGGCTTATGCATTTGATAAAAACCATGTGAGGATGCTAACATATGATACCAGCCCATCACTCTGTCCATTCAAGGTAAAAGGAAACCAAAAAAAGGAAAAAATAAGAAAAATCACACCCTCATTGCGCAAATATGAAATCAGAGCTGACAAGTTCGAAGGAAAATATGTTCCCAAGAGCTGGAAAAACAGGGCTAGGAAAGGCAGTAGCTCAATCCCTACCCACCTACACAATGGGCTGTTTCAAAATTACCAGAATACTTGAGCTCCAATTCGGAACACATGTTATAACTTATGGTGGGGTTCAAAAGAGGTGGAGAAAAAGATCCATTCGGATAGCTAGAAAAGATCCCGCAGGAGAAGGGAGAGGGGCAATGTTCTTTTAGCTATAACAGCTTCTATGTTAGCTCTTCTTGCTAAGCAAACTTGGAGAATCTACCAGAATCCACAGTCACTGCTGCATCATGTTTTTTAAGCCAAATTGCTTCATACTCCTTTTTGAAACTAGCCTTGACCTAGGCCCTCTTGCACATAGCGCAGCATCTTAGAGGCAAAGAACGTGATACTATGTGGATCAAGATGGAGAATCGGGAATGGAAATAATGTGCATACCTGGCAGTTCAGGTGAATATCTACCCCTACAACTCCTAAGGTAAATCAATCCCTGCTAATTCCTAGCGTGCACACGCAAAGGTGAACTGCTTAGTTGACATGGACCTGCACAACCAGAAGGGCTAATTAATTTAAAAAGTGTTCTGGCCATATGAAACCAAAACAATTTAAGTTCATCCCTCTGGGTGATACTTTGCTTGACGACAAGTTGATATAGGACCAAGGGTTTGTGTTTCTGCTCGAACTGCATATCAGCTGATTATGGAGCTAAATTTACTCAAAAATGAAAGGGCTGAAGTGGAAACATCCAGCAGTGCAGGTTCAAGCAACTGTAAATTCTCATGGCACCTAAAAGTACCAAAGAAATTAAGATATTTGCATGGCGGGTTGGCCCAATGCATTGCCCACTAATGCCAACCTGAATTTAGAAAGAATTCTGGTGAACAAACTATGATTCTGTGTACATGGTGGTGGTTATGAATTAAATACTAACCCACAAAAAACCATATCATTGACCCAGGTATGTGACTGGAGGTAATCCACATGGTTGGTTGTTAGGGTAAATTTTTCGAGACAACTCTCTAACAAGACTTAGAGGTCGATCACATAATACACACATGCATTCCTCCGCTTACTCTATCTTGCTTTAATTCTAAGATTAACATCCTCTCAAATTCCCCATATTTAACTGCAAATATCCCACTTTCTTTATAACATCAAAATACAAAATTATCCACTCTTTGGTATCTTTTGATCTTCAATTTTTACAACCTCCCCTAGTTCAATTGCTACTATTACTTACTTTACATTCATATATTTAGTTTTACTTCTACTAGTCGTGGATACTCTTGATGCTAAATCTTTTTTCCAAACGTTTACTTTAGCATTAATTCCTACTTTACTTTCATGAAGCAATATTATATCAGCAACATATAATATACACCTTAAAAGCTCATCATGAATGTGTTGAAGGCAAAGATGTACAAAATTAAAGTAGAACTTTGATGTAAGCCTACCTAGAATAAAAGAATAAGATGTTTGATACACACATTAATCAATATTATGGGAACCTGAAGTATTGCAGGACAGGTGATTCTCAATTTTTGTCAAGGCAGTTCTACTTCAAACATCTTTCTTGCTCCTTTCAAAATCACAAGATTATTTAACAAACGCATCCAGAGACTTACCTAACACAAAATTTTTGTACCCAAAAGCTCGGGAACAACTCTTCTACAAGCAGGAGAGGGCAAAGTCTCCGTTCCAGTTAGCAGTGGATGCCCTTACTGGGCAAATGACCAAGTTTTAAGCCTCCCTACTCCCTTCCCAAATGCATATATGATGTGCTCAAATTTAACAAAAGAAAAAATACATAGTGTGGAGTAAATGCAACAGATACAGGAACTGATGATAACAAAAAAAAAAGAGAGAATAAAAACATGAGCAAACAGATTTCCAAATACCTCCTTCAGCAATCCTCCTTCAGAAGCAAGATTTAAGTTTGTTTGGACGTCCTTAAACCATTTGATGGATTTAGCAGCAGCTGTACATCCCATAGCATGTGCAGAGTACGAGTGTCCATGCAAAAGGGCTTTAAGCTGAAACCAGAGCAAATCCACAGGATTACTAAGGATGGCCAAGGCCACAGGATTACTAAAGATGGCCAAGGCCCACCTGAGTTTTGAAAATTGTCATTTTGACCCCCTTCATTCTTTCCTTTTTTGTTAGTTTTCAAGATAAAATTAGGTTGGTCCCTCTTAAATATGGATTTTTTCATTGTGCCCTCTCTAACTCTCTTAAACCTATTTTAATTTTGTTACACTTCTAGTTGGCTGCCCTAGTTTTGAACTTTTTGGCTTTATCCCTTCATACATATACAAACATACCGAACTCCTTTGCAAATGAAGTAAGTTTTGAGTTTAGATTTGGATTTGGCACATCACCATGTTTTGTAAATATGGACGAGTGTTGAGTGTCAACAAGAACAGAGTGTCAAACACGGAATACCCTGATAATCGATCCACACCGAATGACAACATTGGTACCTAGAGAACCACATGCATGCACCCGATTACCCCATTAAATATTAACTTAATTTACTACGGCCAAATTTTTACCGACAAAGTCTTCCTATAGGGTAGCAATGAACTTACAAAGTTGTATTTGGGGGAAAAAATATCTTTTGACATGGGATTTAATAATTATCAACTAAGATTTTTATTTATAGCTAGAAAACAATCCTAGAAAAGGAAAATTAAAAGGGTTAAAAGGGCATTCCAATGCACAAGGCTTCTACCACTACGAGTTCTGCATAGTCCACCGAGAGTCAGATCTACATAGTATCAGGAGGAGATTCTCCCAAGTTTTGATCAGGAATTTGCTCAATTAGTGTACGGGATGCGATGAATAAGATTACAATAACGATGGCAACATGACAACAACAATGACAACCTGGAGCATGTAGCATTTGTTAGAACATCACCCAAAACCAATGGGTGGAGTGGTCCCTCAAGTATATAAACCAACCTTGGCGGTTCTAATTATTCGATTTGGGATACAAACTCTATTAACACCCTTGACCCTTCCTCATATGAAACCCGAACTCACAAGTAGGGTCAAACAAACACACACACCAAAAAATTTAAATAGGTAAGAGATTTGACCCACTAACCACCCTAGACCTAACTTTGATACCATTTTAGAGCATCCAATCTAAAATCAATTGATAATGGATGGAGTGGCCCCTCAAGTATATAAACCAACCTTGGTGGTCCTAATTATTCGATGTGAGTTACAAACTCTCTTAATAATATCTGACATAAAAAATGAAGAAAAACTTGTGTATCATTTTTGGTCAAAACCTGGAACTTAATACCTACAAAACAAAACCCCTTTTCTTGTTTTTACAAAAATATAATATTTTTCTTTAGCTTTATCTAAAATATTCTACAAATAAATTCCTCTCAAGTACTCGAGTTTTCGAGAATCATATGCACTAAAGGTTAAGGAAGTACTCAAAATTTTTTTTTTTTTTTGTAAAAACTTGGGCGTAACAGCCAACAATGGGAGAATAATTTCTAACACATGAACATTCATAACGATGAAGATGATTCGGGGAACAGCTCACAGGTCAACAAGAGACGGTTATCACGTGTTTATGAGCAAATAGAGATAAATGTGGAAACTGAATCGTCTCTACTAGACAGAAGAAATTCACCATCAACTTAGTGGTTTCTCAGCCTTATATTCACTGACATATGTAAAAAAGCAATGAATTGTAGGAAGGCAAGATCAAAAGAAAAGGTATACAAAAGGGCTTGTCTTTCACTCTATTGCTTGGTTAAACAGGAATGCATGGAAGAAATAAAGAAATAGTGTCCATTCATTTTATCATTGTATCCTTAGATATTCAAACAAGTTTGATGGGCAAAGGTGTAGAAGAGAAGAGATTGCCAATCCCTTCTACCCACTTGAATTAACATTGCCATGCCCCAAATTCATAAAAGCGTGATTAAAAAAAATACTTTATTTATTCCAAAAGCACATGCTAGTTTGCTGTAAAAATATCTAGAGAAGTATCTCTAGTTTAAATAAATCATTTTTTTAAAAAATTCGATAGAATTTCCTTTAAAAACTGGGCATCCAGCTAATTGGTGAGAGCTACTAGTGAGAGTATTAAACATAATAATTATACCTAACTAGCCATTCACATCATATCAACCATAAACATCTCTTCTCATGACATACACAAATAAATCATTACTGTTCAAAACCAGGATAACAAATAGANAACATACCGAACTCCTTTGCAAATGAAGTAAGTTTTGAGTTTAGATTTGGATTTGGCACATCACCATGTTTTGTAAATATGGACGAGTGTTGAGTGTCAACAAGAACAGAGTGTCAAACACGGAATACCCTGATAATCGATCCACACCGAATGACAACATTGGTACCTAGAGAACCACATGCATGCACCCGATTACCCCATTAAATATNCATTCACATCATATCAACCATAAACATCTCTTCTCATGACATACACAAATAAATCATTACTGTTCAAAACCAGGATAACAAATAGAGGCCCACAAAATCCTTCCAATATCGGGTTATAATCTAATTATTCAAAATTCTTTGTCTCGAACATAATATACAGAATATCAAAAATCTTTAGAAGTAAACCATTTAAAAGGTCACAATCTATAAATATTCCCTCAAATTAATCAAGATATAAATTGTTTATAAATGCTCGATAATATACATCGTTGTGCATTATTCTTTACATACTCTAATTAAATATATAAAAATCGTAACAACTATCTTCTGCCTCAATACTCCCACTATGCAGTCCACCAACTTCTGCCCATAACTAAAAATGTTAAATGATAAGAGTGAACAACCACACGCTCAGTAGGATAATCCTTTTCTTAAGCATATATAAAGTTTTAAATACCAACAGTTCACAATCATAATAATAGGTAATGAAATAATTTATCAATAAGTCTAGTTACACGATAAGTAGGAAGCCTTTTTGAAAGTACACTATGTATTATCATTTGAAAAACATAAGTTAAACATCAAGGACTTTACCNCATAATAATAGGTAATGAAATAATTTATCAATAAGTCTAGTTACACGATAAGTAGTAAGCCTTTTTGAAAGTACACTATGTATTATCATTTGAAAAACATAAGTGGAACATCAAGGACTTTACCATATTGAAACCAAATCTCAAAGTTATACTATAAAACTTTTCTTCTTGAAACATAATGCAACACCATTAATTTTATAAAGTACGAAGTCAGAAATCTTTATACAAACATGTGTATAATCAATCTGATAAAATAATTATTCTTATTTTAAACACAATTCATAAATTTGTTCTTTCCAGGCTATTTTTCAAAAATATTAATTCTACTTATTTTCACCTCAACCTCACCTTATATCAACCCACTCAAGAAGTTTGTTGAAATATTGGTCTATTAGTTTCTTGGTACCCAAAATTTATGTATGCTACCCATACGAACAAATATCATCAAACCAACACCGGTTCACGAATGAACTATCCCTGGAGAACCTTTTGGATCTTACACCCTAGGGTCTCCTCGCTCTTCTTACTTTTTAGGGGGATGTGTAAGGTACAACTTGTAATGCCACACAGGTTGTCACCGAAAATCACTACTATCAGCAATCTCCCCAGGGACTAATAGTTGTCTTGGCAACCCCCTCAAGGCCCCCAACCGTCTACTAACCCTCTACTTGTCGGTATTGAACATACAAGTTTCAAACCATAATTTTATGATCACTTTCCATTCCTAACGCCAATCACAACTTTGACATTTTTCAAAGTACATAGTTTTACAAATTCTCAAATTTTTATTTCCAACATAACACATTTTCAAAATAACTCACACACACACCAAAAATACAATTTGTACCATTTTATTGCAAATTTCGCAAATTAAATGATTGAGAAGTTATATATATCAACACCACCCTTTCCATACTTTAAAATAACTCGACAATACCCAAAATATAGTCAATCATTTCATAAAAATCAATACCTCTTTCCACAATCCATCATTTCGATACTTATAGTCACTTTGGCATTTTATCAAACACATGATAGACATCAAATCTCCAAATACACATTTACAAAGTAATATGTCAATTCTTAAGAGACAAATCAAATATATTATATACAAAATCACATATACTATAAAGAACCCAAAATGTTAAGTTCAATCAAACACCTATAACCAAAAATAAAGTTAGGGTTTCAAACCCATACTATAAAGAACCCAAAATCTTAAGTTCAATCAAACACCTATAACCAAAAATCAAGTTAGGGTTTCAAACCCATAATACCCAAATTCATTGAATGCATGTAAGTTCACAAATTCATGGCAAACTCATCATTTAATTAAGACCCATATCATGAAAACATGTATTTAACTCATACTAAACAAATAGATATAGAACATACATGAGATGCATCAATGTATATGTAAGAGAAAAGAGAACCTTACCTCAAAACTCAAGAACCTAAGCTTCACCTTCAAATATCCAAGTGGATCCAAGAATCCCAAGTCATGTTCTTAGATTTTCAAGCAAAAACTCAAGCTCTAGAGATCTTGTTCTTCCCTTTTCTCTTTTCCTTTATCTTCTACCAGGGTTCTAAGAGGTATTAGGTAAGAGCAGACTAAAATAATGGGAGAAATGGGGCTGAAATTGGGGTTTTAAAACCAACAGTCCCAAAGTTTACGTTCATAGAGTNCGCCAATCACAACTTTGACATTTTTCAAAGTACATAGTTTTACAAATTCTCAAATTTTTATTTCCAACATAACACATTTTCAAAATAACTCACACACACACCAAAAATACAATTTGTACCATTTTATTGCAAATTTCGCAAATTAAATGATTGAGAAGTTATATATATCAACACCACCCTTTCCATACTTTAAAATAACTCAACAATACCCAAAATCATGGTAAAATATACTTAATCATTTCATAAAAATCAATACCTCTTTCCACAATTCATCATTTCGATACTTATAGCCACTTTGGCATTTTATCAAACACATGATAGACATCAAATCTCCAAATACACATTTACAAAGTTATATGTCAATTCTTAAGAGACAAATCAAATATATTATATACAAAATCACATATACTATAAAGAACCCAAAATCTTAAGTTCAATCAAACACCTATAACCAAAAATAAAGTTAGGGTTTCAAACCCATACTATAAAGAACCCAAAATCTTAAGTTCAATCAAACACCTATAACCAAAAATCAAGTTAGGGTTTCAAACCCATAATACCCAAATTCATTGAATGCATGTAAGTTCACAAATTCATGGCAAACTCATCATTTAATTAAGACCCATATCATGAAAACATGTATTTAACTCATACTAAACAAATAGATATAGAACATACATGAGATGCATCAATGTATATGTAAGAGAAAAGAGAACCTTACCTCAAAACTCAAGAACCTAAGCTTCACCTTCAAATATCCAAGTGGATCCAAGAATCCCAAGTCATGTTCTTAGATTTTCAAGCAAAAACTCAAGCTCTAGAGATCTTGTTCTTCCCTTTTCTCTTTTCCTTTATCTTCTACCAGGGTTCTAAGAGGTATTAGGTAAGAGCAGACTAAAATAATGGGAGAAATGGGGCTGAAATTGGGGTTTTAAAACCAACAGTCCCAAAGTTTACGTTCATAGAGCAAAAAATATATTTTTCTTCAAAATTACGGTTTTGCCACTAAAAATATCCAATTTGATCCCTATGATTACCCTAAGATTTTTCGATGTTTCGGATTCATTTTTAATGTTATTTTAACCTAAAAATATTTAGTTTATAATTTATTTCAAAACTAAAGTCAATTTACACCCAAAATACTAAAGTTATCATTTTATCCTTTTCGAACCACTATATGAGCTAAACATCTATTCTAAGGTTTTCGGACCTCCCGAATTCAATGGTAATATTGTTTTGACCTAAAAAAATTAATATATTCACTTAGTTACCCTAATCAACCTTAAACACCTCCAAAAATTAAATTTGACTCAAAAATCAATACGCCCGTAACTCAAACTTACGCGACAGTTCCTTTAACAACGATTCGAAGTTTCTCCCATCATTTTAATCATTTAAAAAAAATATTATCAAGTTAATATCATTTATAGTTATATGAAATATAGGATCTCACAAACATCATATAAGGCTGCTATCCCATTCTTAGTAGTGTGAAGTGAGAACAAATGTTATTCATTTGAATGGTCAGCTTGACACGCACACATCCATAAGAATAACGAGGAAGAACCTCAATTAGTAATGGGCACAAGCAGAATCTACTAGATCAAACTAAAGTGACTTCCCTCCAAACTCACATTTAATATTTTTCATTTGAATACTTTCATGAATAAAGAGGGAAAATTAAAAAGATTAGGCTAAGAAATGCAAGGGTTATAAAACTAAGCAAATTACGCCAGGACACTGCAAGGGATACAAAACTCATTATCAGCAACCAAATTTGGCACTCCAGGGCATAGAATCATTCAGTCATCCAGTGAATGTTCAATAAAAATCAATTTTGCCACTCATTCAAGGCCACTATATACGTCACCTTAGAATCTCCAACAAATGCATCAAACACAGCATCCGTCGCCAATGTGGCAGCCAAAGGTACAATTCCACCGGTCATCAGCTTTGCAAAGCAGGCTATATCTGGTTGACAGCCAAGTAGTCCTGCAGCAGACTGTACAGATAGATAACATCCTATCGGCCAATTGATATCAATTTGAAAATAAAATGAAATTAAGAAAAGCAGGGGCAACTAACCTCCACTCCTAATCGCCAGAAACCAGTGAAAACCTCATCAAAGATAACTGGAACATTCCGATTCCGACATTCTTTAACAAGTATACGTTGAAAAAGTGGATCAACCATTTGCATTCCGCCAGAAGCTTGTATCACTGCAAAATAATGGCAACTAAAAAAGGATATGACCCATTTTCTAGGCGTTGTTGACATGAACAAGATATCCTATGTCAAGTGGCACTCTAGGCCATTCAATACCAAACAACAAGAACACATGCCATCAAAGTAGAGAGCCAAGGAAAGCATTGAAAGTGGATCGAACCAATTCAATTGAGAAGAATCCTCTGTTCATTTTGTTCGTAGCTAACCTTCAATTATTTTTCAGGTCTAATATTATGATATTAATTACTATGAAGTGCCTTTATTCAGTGGATAGGATTCAAATAACTTTTAGGGTTTGTTTCGCTTGAAATCAAAAGACATTTTCCACTAAAATTAATTTTAAGGCATGTCTCAATTAAATCGAAAAAGTTATTTTGACATTAGTCATACTAGGTCTTAATGTTATTGAAATCAAACAGTTGTTCTGACACCAATTATTTTAGGGCATATTGATAAGCACTTAATATTGCATTATTTCATACCCTTTCACATCTAATTTAGGCTTGCCAACGAACTAACTTGTTTCACTTAGTGCGTTTTGTAGCTTAAGCCTTGATTTTAGTGTTGTAGGCATTTTAGGTATAAACATGGAGTTTTAGCATGAATATAATGGCAAGGAATAAGGTGGCAGTGAGTTTGCTCGGGTTTAGATGAAACCGGGGGTCTTGCTAAGTCAATTGAAGAAAAAAAGAAGAACTACCGGTAGGAAGTCAGTTCTACCGGTCGCTGAGCTCACAAAAGTTTACAAGATTTCATCAGAGAAGTTATACAAGTAATTGTATCACGGTCTATCGATAGTTGAAGCTATAGTACTTTTATCAGAAGAGTCTTACCGAATTAACTACCGGTAGGAGAAGCTACAGAAGTTCTTGACAGACAGAGAACTACCGGTATGTCTACCGTGCTACCGGCAAGTCGAGTCAGATATTCTTGGGAAGTTTAATTAAAGATCAAATTTTGTCAAAACTTTTGGAGATTCTTAACCTAGAAGAGGAAAATATTTTGGGATTGATATCTTTCAAAGATCTGAAGATTTTCCTTCCAACTATTATAAATAGAGACCCTTTGGAGAATCAAGGAAGATGAGGCTAGAGAATACATTTTAGGAGTTTTCTTTTACTTTCAAGACTTTGTTATTTAAAATCAATTTTTCAATACAAGCAATCAATTTCAATTCAGTCTTTACTTTTTTGCATCTGATTATGTCTTTTTTGAAGATTTACGTCATTTTCATTATCATGAGTGAGTAGTCTTTTTTCGGATGATCTAAGGAAGGAGTTGCAAACCTATGAAGTAGGGCGTATGCCTTAAACTAGGATTTTAACGTTTATGTGATTGATTGAACATATTATGCTTTCGGAAACCTAATAGGTTTGCATACGTCCTTGTTATTTGTATGCAATTAGGCTTAGTACAAAAATTATGGTGTTTTCTGCAACCTTTAGAGTATCGATTCTTTCATCATAAATCATCTTTCAATTGCTACATTAGTTCTTTCAAAGTTTTTAGTTGAAAATCATTCGTATGTAGTAGTTTGAATACGAAAACAAATGAGTTATACATTTAAGGTAAAAACTCTTATTCATAGGTAGGATGAACTCAAAGAACTTTTTTATTTTATTTTTTATCACCTTGGATTCCAATTTTTTAAATAAGAAGATGACCTTGAACTTTTGTTCAAGTTACTACACGATACCTTTCTCTTACGCTTGAGAGCTTTCATGAAAATATAACCCATTTTGAGGACAAGCATTTTTGGCGCTATTGCCAGGGACAGATCAAAAAGTTCACATGATGTTTTCATCAACATCTGGCAAATGAAAAATTGTGGTTGCCATCAGGTGAGGAATTCTTTTATCATCATGACTTGGGCATTGTGAAGGAATTGAAGATTTTTGGTCCAGAAGATATATACAAAACGTGGGAGTCTTTTGCGGGTTGGTTTTTTTATGTTTTTCTGACGTATTGGTCTTGCTTTATTTTATGATCCCATAATTATTGAATTATCAGTATAGAGCAAATACACGTTCTCTTGTTGCTTTGTTCCGAGAATTTTGTAATCTTCAACCTTTCAATAGTAAAATTTTGTCGCTGGATTTCGTTTTTGGACGTAGGCTTACTTGTTAAGTCAAAGCAGGTAAATCTTGTGTTCTATTTTTCTATTTCATTCATTTTTATTTTGCTTGTGACATTGGTTCATAACAAACTGATATCAAAAGCTATTAGTTTCGGGATGGCTACTGTAAAATTTGAGATAGAAAAATTTGATAGTCAGAACAATTTTAATTTATGACAGATTAAGATGAAGACATTGCTTCGTCAGCAGGGTTTGGCAAAGACCATTGATGGATCTTTATCCAAGGAGACAGATAAGACTAAAGTTGCTGAAATTGAAAATAAAGTACATACTACAATTCAGTTGTCTCTTGTTGATGAAGTTCTTTGTGAGNTTTTCAATAGTAAAATTTTGTCGCTGGATTTCGTTTTTGGACGTAGGCTTACTTGTTAAGTCAAAGCACGTAAATCTTGTGTTCTATTTTTCTATTTCATTCATTTTTATTTTGCTTGTGACATTGGTTCATAACAAACTGATATCAAAGCTATTAGTTTCGGGATGGCTACTGTAAAATTTGAGATAGAAAAATTTGATAGTCAGAACAATTTTAATTTATGACAGATTAAGATGAAGACATTGCTTCGTCAGCAGGGTTTGGCAAAGACCATTGATGGATCTTTATCCAAGGAGACAGATAAGACTAAAGTTGCTGAAATTGAAAATAAAGTACATACTACAATTCAGTTGTCTCTTGTTGATGAAGTTCTTTGTGAGGTCGTTGATGAAGACAAAGTCAAAGGGCTATGAAAAAAATTTAAGAGTTTATGTATAAAGAAGTCTTTCGCCAACCTTTTGTTTCTGAATCAATGGTTGTATACACTCAAAATGAAGAAAGGTACGTCAATTACTGAATATCTTGATGAATTTAACAAAATTATTGTAGACTTGAAAAATATTGGTATTAAAATTGGGGATGGAGATCAAGCCCTTATTGTGTTATGCNACAAAGACCATTGATGGATCTTTTTCCAATGAGACAGATAAGACTAAAGTTGCTGAAATTGAAAATAAAGTACATACTACAATTCAGTTGTCTCTTGTTGATGAAGTTCTTTGTGAGGTCGTTGATGAAGACAAAGTCAAAGGGCTATGAAAAAAATTTAAGAGTTTATGTATAAAGAAGTCTTTCGCCAACCGTTTGTTTCTGAACCAACGATTGTATACACTCAAAATGAAGAAAGGTACGTCAATTACTGAATATCTTGATGAATTTAACAAAATTATTGTAGACTTGAAAAATATTGGTATTAAAATTGGGGATGGAGATCAAGCCCTTATTGTGTTATGCTCACTGACTGATTCGTTTGATAATTTTGTTAATTTGATGTTGTACAGGAAATACTCGATCTCCTTAGTTGATATGAAGTCCTCTTTGAATTTTAAGGAGTTGCATACTAAATTGAACNAAGATCAAGCCCTTATTGTGTTATGCTCGCTGACTGATTCGTTTGATAATTTTGTTAATTTGATATTGTACAAGAAATACTCGATATCCTTAGTTGATATGAAGTCCTCTTTGAATTTTAAGGAGTTGCATACTAAATTGAACGGTAAAAACAATGATGCTCGAAGCCGAGGGTTTGTTCATGAAGGATCGTCATGATAATTCCTCTAATAATAATAGAGGTCGAANACGGTAAAAACAATGATGCTCGAAGCCGAGGGTTTGTTCATGAAGGATCGTCATGATAATTCCTCTAATAATAATAGAGGTCGAACTGTTGAAAGAAATTTAGATAAAGGAAAAGAAAATTTTGGATATCGATCACAGTCGAAGAAAGAAATCGAATAATATTGAATGTTCTATTATCACAAAATTGGTCATTAAAAACGTGATTGTTTTAAGTTGAAAAATAAAGGGAGAAAGAAAAAAATCAAATCATTCTGATTCCTCTAGTGTTGCAGAAGATACATCTTATGGTTCAGATAATATCCTTACAGTTGTTGTCTTTGAAGGAAATTTTAATGATGAATGAATTCTTGATTCAGGTTATTTCTATCATATGTGCTTTTAATAGAGATTGGTTTACCACCTATGAGTCAATCAATGGTGGTTTAGTCTTAATAAGAAATAATATTACCTGTAAGACTGTTGGAATTAAAACACATGATGGGGTTATGAGGACTTTAACAAATGTATGACATATTCTAAAATTAAAGAAGAATTTGATTTCTTTAGGTACTTTAAATTCCATTGATTATAGGTTTTCTACTGAAGGTGGAGTTATGAAAGTTTATAAGGGTTCCCTAATTCTGATGAAAGGTAAAAAAATTAATGACATTTATGTTCTTCAGGATGATATTGTGATTGGTGTAGCTGGTGTGTCATCTTCAAAAATTCCAGATTTAGATACTACCCAGTTATGACATGTGTTTGGGTCATATGACCGAGAGGAGCATGAAAGTCTTGTGTAACCAGAGTTTGTTTGGCAAACAAGAAATGAAAAAGTTGTTTTTTGTGAGCATTGTGTCTTCGTGAAACAGTGTAGAGTCGAGTTTAGTACAACTATTCACAAGATTAAAGGTACAATTGATTATATTCATTCAAACCTTTGGGGTCCTTCTCGGATTCCATATAAGGGAGGCGCTCAGTATCTTTTGACCTTTATTGATAATTGTTCAAGAAAGGTTTGGGTGTATTTTCTGAAACGCAAGAGTGATATTTTTGAGATTTTCAAGTAATGAAAATTTTTGATTGAGAAACAGACAGGCAAGAAAGTCAAGCGTATCAGAACAGATGATGATTTGAAATTTTGCAAAGGTAAATTTAATGAGTTCTGCAGAGATAAAAGCATTGTCTGACATCAAACTATCTGGTCTACTCTACAGCAAAATGGGATTACAGAGAGGATGAATATGACTCTTTTGGAGAGAGCACGTTGTATGCTCTCTAATGCAAGGTTGTTCAAGGATTTTTGAGCTGAGACTATCAGCACTGCTTGTTATTTGGTTAATTATTCTCCATCCACTGCTATTAAGTTGAAGACTCGTCCTGAAATATGGTCTGGTACTCCTGCTGATTATTCTGATTTAAAAATATTTAATTGCACTGCTTATTATCATGTGAATGATGGTAAGCTTGAGCATATGGCTAAAAAATGCATATTTATTAGTTATGCTAATAGCGTGAAAGGATATAGATTGTGATATTCTGATCCTAAATCACCTAAATTTATAGTCCGTAGGAATGTTGTATTTGATGCATATTTCATATTTCATCCGAGAAAGGAGTTTGTAGTTTCTGTAGGGAAAAAACAGGATTTATAGCAAGGAAGTGGAGTTACATGGTGGAAGCTTCATAGAAAGTACTTGAAAGTACTTCAAGTCAATCTATTAAAGATTTGTCTAGTTCTAGTTTCGGTGATAATCCACATGAGAAGCAACAGTATAATATTGAACAGACAGGGAGAGGAGGCAAATTAGACCCCCTCAGAAATATGAGTATGCAGACTTGGTGGCTTAATGCATTGACTATAGTATAGGAGTTTGGTATTCAAGAGTCTTCCACATATTTAAAAGCTGTCACAGGTAGTGAGTCTAAACATTGGGTCGTTGCTATGACTGAAGAAATTGAATCTCTTCATAAGAACCAGACATGGGAATTAATGAAATTGCCTAACGATATGAAAGTTGTTGGTTGCAAATGGGTCTTCAAGAAAAAGAAAGGAATTTCAGAGGTTGAATCAGGAAGGTACAAGGTACGATTAGTTGCAAAAGGCTATAGTCCAAGAGAGGGTACGGATTTCAATGAAGTTTTCTCACAAATTGTGAAACATAGTAAACTTGCTTCACTATGTATGTATTGCTTGCCATGGTTGCTTCACTCAATCTAGAGCTTGAACAACTTGATGTAAAAACAACTTTTCTACATGGTGAACTTAAGAAAACTATCCACATGCATCAACTAGAGGGATTTATTATTCAAGGTGAAGAAGATCATGTTTGCTTGTTGAAGAAATAATTATATAGTTTGAAATAGTCTCCAAGGCAATGGTACAAACGTTTTGACACTTTTATGGTAGATCATAGTTACTCTAGGAGTAATTATGATAGTTGTGTGTATCACATACAGTTGTCAGATAGTTTTTTTNTTTATGGTAGATCATAGTTACTCTAGGAGTAATTATGATAGTTGTGTGTATCACATACAGTTGTCAGATAGTTTTTTTATATATTTATTGCTTTATGTGGATGATATGCTTATTGTTGCTAAAAGCATGTTAAAGATTGACAGGTTGAAGAAACAATTGAATTCAGAATTTGAGATAAAAGATTTGGGTGTTGCAAATAAAATTTTTGGTATGGAGATTCACAGGAATAGGAAAGCAGGTATGTTATATTTATCTCAAAAAAAATGTATTGAGAAAGTTATTAAGCAGTTCGGGATGCAGAGTTGGAAGCCCGTGAGTACTCCATTTGCCACTCACTTTAGGCTTAGCAGTTTTATCACCACAGAGTGAGAATAAGGAGCAGTTTATGTCTCGTGTTCCTTATTCTAGTGCAGTTGGGAATATCATGTATACTATAGTTTGTACTTGTCCAGATATTTCATAGGCAGTTAGTGTGGTTAGACGGTACATGACTGATCCTGGGAAAGTTCATTGGCAGGCTGTGAAATAGATACTTTGTTACTTGAGAGGCACTACAAATATTGGCCTAGTATTTGGTAGAAGAGATGGTTTCGATTCTACAGTTGTTGGTTATGTTGATTCAGATTATGCGGGTGATATAGATAAGAAAAGATCTCTGACAGGTTATATTTTTACTCTATTTGGGTGCACTGTAAGTTAGAGGACGATCCTATAGTTACTTTGTCTATTAAAGAGGCAGTATCAAAGACAGTTAAAGAAACAATTTAGTTAAAAGGTTTGGTCTGTGATTTGAGCTTAGAAAAGAAGGTGACTACTTTGTTTTGTGATAGTCAAAGTGAAACTATGCAATACATTTGACAAAAAATTAAATGTATCATGAAAGAACCAAGCACATTAATGTTAGATATCACTTTCTTGCGTGAGGTTATAACTCAAGGTATTGTCAGAGTGAAAAAAATTGCTACAACAGATAACCTAGCAGATATGTTTACTAAGCCGATACTAGTGCTCAAGTTCAAGCACTGCTTGGACTTGATTGGTGTTTGTACTGTTTGAGTTATACCCTTCCCGGTATTTGACGAAGACAGTGGTCAAGTTCACTTTGGTTGAATGGCTTANGCTTACTTGTTGAACCGAATCATGTAAATCTTATGTGTTCTATTTTTTCCATTTCATTGTGTTTTATTTTGCTTGCGGCTTTGGTGCATAACACTCATTAGAATTAAATCACGGATCTTAGTACATTTTTTATGTTTGAACATAGGAATTTGTTATATAAAAATCACATCCAATTTACTCTTTATTAATCGAAGTCTAGGAAATTTTTTGCCTCTAGGTTAATTTTTCATTTATGTTTTTGCCCCTTATTAGGCAAAATCCTGAATTTGCTTCTGATAAGTAGTTAGTGACTGAAGAGTGAGCACCAAAGAGCATCAACATTGTGACCAATTAAAAGAAAAATAGCATACATGTTTTACGGAAATATTCAACCAAAAAATAAAACCCCCAACTAACCCCCACACCATCTAGATGGCACAATACCGCCTAAACTGCTATGTTGCATGTCTTCGGCAACATTCATGCAAGTGCAATGAGATTTTTTGCAAAGATTTGATTAGCTAGTTNTACCGCCTAAACTGCTATGTTGCATGTCTTCGGCAACATTCATGCAAGTGCAATGAGATTTTTTGCAAAGATTTGATTAGCTAGTTCTCTGTTAAACCCAATTATTCTTTCTATCTTCTCCTATTTCAATCACCATCTAAAACAAATGATATGCCCCAAAAAATGTCATGGCATCTTTTCCCCATTGTTAATGCCAGATTTTGTGTTCAAGTTCTTTGTTTATGCCATCCATTTCTCACATTAATTTGTCAGAGGGGCATTTGCAAATCAGTCAAGTTATACTATTTTATGAAACAACTTGCATCCCGTATCAAATGATTTGGCCACTAAAGATTGGTTTGTATAATTACGCGCCCTTTGCACTTATTGCCGCTTGATTTTGAGCTGGATGCTCCGGAATTGTAAAGGTAGGCCATGGGTGATCTATGGGTCAAATATCTTACCTAAATGAGTTTCTCCGAATGTATATTTGTTTGTTAGTTCCACGAGCGATCCCAAATCCACATGAGGAACAGTCATAAAGAGAGCTTATACCTCACCTCTAATGTTAGTTCCACCTCTCGAAAACCATGAGAGAAGTTCAGTTGTTTATAAAACAATTTATTTTGGCTTATGAAATATAAATTCATAAATATTAATTCCATAACAATGACACCAACAACAAGGATAAATTCTTAAATCAAAAAAATTATCCAGTGAATCTTAACAGTATGTACTACAGCCTTTCATTTTCTCTATTCTTATTCCTCATCTTTCCCTTTTTTTTTTTTTTTTTTTTTTACGGAGAGTGGTTTGGTGACGGTTTTCCTGTACATCAGGCTGGTTTATAACTGCTATGATAAATACTAAAGGGATCCACATTACATAAAAAGTTATATGAGATCCCATGCTATGAAGAAGAGGCCTATAATCTGTTGGTCAGCATCGGTCAGTACATTACATTCCGCATAAACCCAGTCAGAGTTTTTCTTTTCTAACCTGAAATCCTAGAGCGACAATATCTTTCTCTGACGCATCAGCCACAGACCTAAACATATGGCAAAACCAGAAAGGCTAAGGCAGAGACAGAATGAAAAACACATCACGGGATAAAGCAATTCAGTAATTAAATTGTGCACCTCAACAGCTCAAGAATATTTGGCCAGCTGTAGTGCAGCTTCTCTCCATGTCTCTGAAAGAAGAGGGAGGGGGGGGGGGGGGGGAAAAAAANTAGAGATCCAGCACGAACGTCAAAGCTTTGAGTTGATGAATAGAGGACCGTTAAAGGAGATATGATAGCACATTCCAATGATCTTAACTCTGTAAACGTGGTTTCAATCTAGAGATAGCGCACAATGAGATGCAATGCCAATCCATATTATTATCAAAAAAAAAATATAGGCAAGCCAATTGAAAGAGACGATAATTCTCACATTACGAGATAAGTTATTTGTTCTGGATGTACACTCCTGAAACTGCTCCGAACCTAAAACAGCACAAATTGACTGATCCAATGCATCAAGCGCCACATTGCGTACATGCTGATTCGAACTATCAGCAAGCTGCAAAATATTCCTCAGATGTCAAAGAGGGATGTAAATCATGCACGTATCACCAATTAACGAACATGATACTTATAGTCACCTCAAGAAAATGGCCAACAACTTCATTCCACAATGGTTCCACCCCTGTAGTAAAACCATTTAATTGAGAATTCTACAATCGACTAAAATGTAACTCAAAACACAACATATTTCATGCTTGTTACCACACATGTTTCCAGTATATAAAATGGTTTCTGAAAGCCTTATTTCATAAAGGTCAAATATAGGAGCAAAATTTTGGAAGTTGAAAAAAACAATTACAAAAAATATACTTTTATACATACATAAAAGAATCGCTTATATTACACTCTCATTTGATGGTTTATTCTTTGAAAGATGAAGCAACCTGTGTTAATAGTCTTCATGTAACAATTACATTTCAATTTGTTAATTGTTATTATCTGTTTACTGTTAATAATAGTCTTCATTATTATCTGTTTATATGGAAAGAGAGAAATGCAAGAATCTTTGAAGATCGGTGTGAGTGTTTGGATGGTTTATGAGATCGGATTCATTTTATTTTGCCATTTTGGGCTTTGGTTTCTAGAGATTCCAAAGGAATCTCGCTCTTTGCTATTTTATCAGGATGGAGAGCTTCATATGATCTACAGACTTTTTATGTTTTTGCCATTCATTGTATTTTTGCTCTTTTGTGGTTGGATTTCTTGTCCAACCATCTTTCATATAATTCTGTTTTTATTTTAATACAATATGTTTCGTTTCCTATCAAAAAATTATTATCTGTTTATATCATTCAATTGGTCACAATTAACTGATGAGAGGAAGAACAAGAAAAAGTAATATTTAATTATAAAATATTTATGATCCACAAATCTCCACTGAATTCTCTATTATCAGCACATATTTATAGGCTTCCCAATTTACTCAACTGTTCAGTGGGATACCCAGTTGGAAACTTCTCGAAAAGTTATGTAAATTTTCCCGGAAACTTCCTCTCAAAGTATATCTATTACTTAAACCACATGAAACCGATGGACAATCAATTGTAAATCATAAACCTGCTAAAGTCAAACCCAGAAAAAAAATAAAAAAAAAACTGCTAAAAATCTCAAAGTAAGAAACTACCAACTCCTGACCTTACATTTAATTTCACAAGTTAGAAATTCAATAAATCAGAATTTTTTATCCGTTACTTAACCGGACTTTTATTAGACAAAATTACATTCTTGAATTGGACAGTACATCACATGCACATGAATATGTATATTAAGCAAGAAAATTTATACAATCACACAACTGCATACAATTATAACATGCACAAATGACATGACTCCACATGGAATTAGACAAGAAACAATGTATTTTCTTCAGCCTAAATAGAAGAATCCAATACAAAGACGGGACTAAATAAAAGAAATTAGTAGAATTGACAAGATAATACACAAACGTGCAATAGTTTTTAGTTGACACCTTGTTGAAGTATAATACTTAAGTTACACTGTCTCTACCAGCTTAAGCTTTTACAGTAGATGGCTGTTTAGCATGATATCAATGCTGGTGATTCTTTGAATTATAAACATTTAAGTTACGCCCTCAGTAACAGCTTAAGGCAGAGTAGATGGTTGTTTACCAAGCCTGAATATAAAAAAAATAGAAAAAGAGTAAAAAGGATGAAATATAAAACTCTGGCAAACTGATTTTCAGTACTTACGGTGAAGATTATTGACAATGATAGACAGCATTCTCTCCACTGAAAAACAGATGCTTCCAATTTTTTGGCTTGATGCTTGTCCAATCCCACTTAAAGTGCTCACCATGCATTGATGTGACAGTTGACGTAGTGCAGAAAGAAGTGATTTAACAGCAGATACGCGCATAAGTGCTGAGCTCTCAAAAAGCTTCACAAAGAAGAAAAAGCTTAGGTCAGCACATGCATCATAAGATTTCAGAAAGTGAAAAGTAAAAGAATACTAGGCGAGTGAAAATTCACCTGAGAATTCAATGACGACAGAATATTGAAGTCACTGTATTGGCCAGATGAATCTCTTGTAAGCTTTGGGACAGTGGTAGAAGCCTCCTACACAATGAAAATAAAGACACAAACATAAAGGCAGTTTGAATAATAAGCCTGCATTTCGTATGTGCCATGTTCCAATGATGCATTTAAATTGCACCAGCTCAACAAACTTTTTTTTTGGTAAAGTTAGCTCGGCAAAGTTGCAAAGCCACTATTATACATTTTATTTTTTCACAAAGAATATCATTAAGCAGGTTCTATGGGAGAGGGTAAAATTTTTGGCTTCCCTTTGGGCGTCAACCGCTTAGATCCATTAAGTTGTATTTTTTCTTTTTTGTTGTATCTTCTCTCAGTGTTTTTCTTTATAGGGTGGATTTGTTGTCCACTTTTGTATTCTTTAATAGAAGGTTTTGTTTCTTATCTAAAAACATATGTTTGCATCTAACTTAACCTTACAGTTCAGAAATCTTCTGGTGCATCGATGTTATTCCTCTGTATCTTCAAAAATTCTCCTATTCCTTTCCAACAACCCCACCCAAAAAACTGCCATAGCCACAGATTCCCAAAAAATAGATGCTCTATTCCCCTTCCCAAAAACACCACTATTTGTTCCGTAAAGTGACACATTCTTTTGGAATAACCCAACTCAAGCACAACTTTAAAGCACCAAACAATGCAGAAAGAGATGAACCACACTTTTATTGCTGCTTTTACACATTATACACCACTGTGGAGCAAGACAAGAAGTTGGTCTTCTCCTTTACAACAAATTTCAAGTGTTGAGCTTTCCATGAGCTACAGTCCAAGTAAAAACCTACACTTTCACAGTAGTATAGCCTTCCAAATCATCTCATGGGATTCAACCATAGGAGAGGTGTTCATTGATCAAAGCATGGAAGTAGGATTTGCAAGAAAAGCCACTAGAAAAATCAAGGATCTAAACTCTTTTATCTCCCACCCTGGCATTAAGGAAGCCGGTTGAAGAATAGTCAACAAAGATAAAAGTTCCGACAGCTCCCTATCATTTAAGGCCCTAAAAAATTTAAAGTTCCATCCCCCTTGAGTTGGACAATCACAATACACACTTGCAATAGAAGCTTCTTGAGACCGATTCAATCTAAAAAGACGTGGAAAAGGCATAAAAAGGAATAATCATCCACCCAAGTATCTTTCCAAAACCAAATTGTCTCACAATCACCAATACCCACTCTAACATGTTTCATAAATCCATCTAAACTATGTGAAATGAATTTTCAAGTGAAAAATATGATCAAAGAGACAAGAAAAATGAAAGAAAAGAGAGAATGCAATACACATATAGGAGAATGGATTGCTCCTATGGAAAATAAAATGAACTGTCACAGTTAAAACAAATGTCAAGATGAATGAAGACAATACATATATGGGAGTATTCTTATAAAACACAAGTGGCACTCAGTTCCCAACAACAGGACAGATATCCTACATCAAGGAAGTTAAAAAATCACTTGACTAGTGAAAACCAATAACCAATTATTCAAATCTAGTATAGAAATAGCATAGCCTTGAAAATTACTTGTGTTGTTGCATGTGGAGAATGGATTGCTCGATCTAGAGCTGCTAGAGTCTCCAACACCTACAAATATTCGATACCTGACAGATATAGGGAATAAATTCATCCAATTTCATAAAGATTTGAAAACGTGCACCAACATACCAAAACCCATGAGGGGCCCAACAAGTTATGCAATCGATGAGCTACATTGAAAAGAGTCCTTAATGCCTGAATTGCACAAACCATAACAATTAACAATATGATAGATCATCCCATAAACAACAACAAATGTAAGAATTGGGACAGCAAGCACAGATAAAGTATACATAAACAGAGCTAAAACAAGTACCTGCACATTTTTAGGAGTAAGGACAACGTTATCCCCCTGATCCACCAATGATTCAGACCATTTCGAACCAGGAGACTGTAGAGCACTGCAGATTTTAGAGATTAGTCAATAGTTCAATGTACCAATTGACACTTGAAATTAGAGCCAAAAAAAAAAAAAGAGAGAGAAAGAAACAAGAAGAAAAGGTGATATAATGTGAGGCACAAGAAGCACAAATTTCCTACAACCAAAGAGCTTTTTGAGCAATCTCTATACCAATAATAATAGAGAACACAACGCTAGACTCAATAATTTATCACGTAAATTCTGTGAAGCACCGACACGCTATTTGCCCTCAAGTATCCGTGTCCGACACGTTTGGGACACGTGTCAGATACACAAAAATTAATGTCCAAATTTTTTTTATTTTTTTGATAATCGGACTTGTTCCAAATACGTTTTCTCTAAATTACCAATTTTCGGTTGTTCACAACAGTTGGGATCAATGAAGACAGACAACAATGATAATGAAGAAGCTAACGTGAAAGACGAAACTCGAGCAATAGAACACCAAAAGTGTCCATCAATCAGCACCATCTCCAGCGATCGGCGGCCATCTTTACAAAGAAAAGAGAGGGAGATTACAGAGAAGAGAAAAAGAGAGAGATGTGTCAGTGTGTTTGAGAGAGAAAGAGGTTGGGGGGCCTCATAGGAGATCTACTTTTTCTTTTTAGGGAAAGTGGCAGATATTCTTTTTTTCATCTAGATTATTGTGTTGCTTAAATCAAGTCATTGCCATGTAACATGTTATTATTGGTTTTCTCAGATATTTGTCTTATCTCCTTATCAACTTGAAAAGATCAAATGTGGCCCAGATTAAAAGAGAACTTAAAACTTGTACATTTCATTGGATGGGCCNCACGTGTAAGATACCGACACTCTTCGGATATGTGTCTCGTGTCTATAATTAAATGATAAAATTTTAATTTTAACCACGTATTGAACACTTCTTTGGTAACGCATACGACCCTTCTTTAGAATATGTCTACCACTAGACAATAAACATGTGTAGAAATATGATTAACAAAGTTAAAAAATTTGAGAACAAATAATAACTAACATTAGACATGTTAAAATTGTACTTTAAATATAATAATAAAAACAAAAGATGCATAAAAGTTTTAAAAAAAGAAATTGAAAAAATAAGAACAATTATTTAAATTATATATTAGGTACATATTGTCAACAAAAAAAAAATTGATGATTATTGACTATTATGAGGATACTTTAGTTTAAAAATTCACACACAAGACTAGACATAAGATTTACTTATCATAAAATGCTAAATCTTTATGATTGTATATCATTATCACTATATTTGCAATAATATATAATGTTATATATAAAATAAAATTTTTTGTAGCATATTCTCAACTTGTCCGCATCTTATTTTTTCGAGAAATGTCGTACCGACGTGATCGTGATCGTGTCGTGTCGAATCTTTGTCCATGTCCATGCTTCTTATGTCGTAGTTTTTTGTTAATTGATATAACACATAAGGTTTGGAAAATTATGCCCCATTCATGTTCTCAAAGGGACAGCGATGCTAAGGCATATGATCTTATGAAGAAAGTTTAGAGCAAAAAGGATATAACTCTTGCAGTTTCTTGCGCAAAGTTGACTACTGTGTACCAGGAGCTTAAGTACTACAAGAGTTTCCACATTGGCTATGCTAATGAAGGTGTAAACTTTCAACATATGGTGAAAAAAGAACGTGTATGACTTTTCTTGCTAATATTAATAATAAGTATGATTAGACTAGGGGTCAAATTTTTGGGTTGTAGCTCGCTTCCTACCTTATGAGAGGCCTATACCCACATCCAACAGGAGGAGAGCAGGAGGATTGCAATTATTTACGCTCTTACTCTAGAACAATCTACCTTAGTTTTTATTTCCAATGTGACTTGAGTCTAGTCTAGTCTAAAGTTTATTGAGATGAGTGGCACTGTTGTCAAGGATACCTTGTGATATTATGGTAAGACTAATCATACTAGAGAGTTTGTTAAAAACAGACTAGAAATCTTACACATTGACGAGGTGGTGGTTGAGGTAATGTGTGATTGCATGCACACATAGCTGAATCTTTATAGATTTTATCTTAGTTTACCGGAGTGATTGCATGCACACGTCTCATTTTTTTCTCACGATGTGATGCAGACTCTTGGGCGTCTGATGGCTCGACTTGATGTTTCTCCTAATACAATTTCTAATCATGTTTTTTCTTTCAACTTTACTCATACAAGTACATCTACGGGAGTGGTTAATGTTTTATCCTCATTTACTCATCAGATCATAGACTCTTGAGCCACATACCACATGACAAGTTCCTCTAGCTTTTGTTCTTCATACTCTACTTGTTCTAGTAGGGATAAAGTCAAAGGGACAGATGAATCTTTATCTTCTACTTCTGAGAAAGATTCAATTAATTGCTCTCCCACCTCATCCCTCCCCTCAGTTCTTCATGTCCCAAATTTATTTTCTATTAGTACCATTACATATTCCTTGAATTGTTCAGTGACATTTATTCCTACTCATTGCATCTTTCAGGAACTAGAATTAGGGAAAACGATTAGCCATGGTTGAGGACATGGTGGTCTATATTTCTTAGATACTGAAGTTTCTCCTTAGTCTACTCGTCAAATATAAAGCAAAAGACACTCAATTTTGGCTCACGTATAAGTGTCAGGTATGTTTGGGACAGTGTTATTTAAGGCGTAAAGCGAACCGAAGCGACCAAGGCTCCTAATGCCTAGGCGAAAAGCGAGAAGCGAAGTGACACGCTTTACAGAAGCAAAGCGAACAGTTAAAAAAAATATATATTTTAGTTTAATTACTTCTAAACAATCTAAATTCTTATTTTATATATACTAAATATTTAAATGCAAGTAAAATCATAAACATTTAAATTAAAACAAACACTAATAATATCTCAAATCTTAATAACAGTCATAACTTAAACTCAAACAAATACTAACAATTGTATACATTTTCATACTGACAGGATAGGACAAAAAGAAGCAGAATCAGCAACAAAAAAAAAGAAGCAGAATGGGGATAAAAAAAAACAGAAGTAGCACAGGATAGCAAAACCGAAGAAGTAACAAAATCAACAAAAAAAAAATAGAAACAGAATGAGCTAAAAAAAAAAAACAGAAGCACAATGATCATGACAGGAGCAGAATCAATTGTAAACAATTTCATATGTAATTATGTACTGAATAAAAAAAGCAGAATAGAGGCACATTTCACATGTACTAAAATAATTAAACATGGTATAAGCATAGACCACTTTTTGGTACCATTTGTATATATATAAGAAAAGGAAAAAGTATAACCAAGACATATCAGAGACACTTCTTTGTTGAAGACTCTATTATTTACCCCCATTCCTGATACTCCTACTTCCTTTCTTTATCATAATTTTGTCATGAAGTCGTCTGACTCCCACATCCCACAAATATTCTAAATGAATTCAGCAAGACAAGGGAAAAAAAAATGTGTTTTGTTCGAAACATTGTTTATTAGAAAAAAAAAAAAAAATAGACCAGCGATAGTCTAAAAAAAAAGTCATTAGTGATTAAAAAATAAAAAAAACTACTAACCTGTAATCAAAAAAAAAAAAAAAAAAAAAAAAAAAGAAACAGAATCGCCTCTTATAATAAAGCGTTCGTTTTTTCGCTTCTTCGCTTTTTTGCTTTTTCTCGCTTTGTTCACGTTTGCTTCGCCTGGGGTCTTCCAGGCGAGATAAGCTCGCCTCGCCTAACTTCTCGCCTAGGCGAGCTTTTCAAAACATTGGTTTGGGACATGGACACATGTTAGACATGCCATTTGGGGTGTCCAATTTTTTTTTTAATTTTGATTTCTAACAAGCACGAGACACATAACAGACATATTGACAACATGTATGGACATGCAAGAGACACATTTGAGATTCATTCTGTAATTTTATAATTAACACACGGGTTATTTTTTGTACTTATTTAACAATAAAAGGGTCAAAACAAAAAAATCGCAAAAGTTTGGACTTAAAAAAAAACTTATTCCATATATATAATCTAACAAGAAAACATCCCTCATCAGAACATCAAACACAACCTACGGCTTTTCTCTGTCAAACTAAGAAAGAAGAGATAATCTATATATCCCTTCACTCCAGCGACACCATTCACTTCAACGACCTTCCTCATTTCGATGACATGTGGAAGAGGTGTTATGGAGGGCTTTAATATCCCTTATTCTAGGTTTAGGCTTTTTCTGCAACTAAAAAGTTTCTCCATCACTGATAACCCCTAATCTGAATTACCCATGATATTCTCTTCTTATTTATATCATTTGTTGCTTCAATAAGCTACGTTTCTCTTTAGGGATTTTTCCATTTAGGGATTGTGACACCAAAAAGCCTTAACTTTACAAGGATAAAAATATCATTTCAAAACGTCCAAAACGTTTCTGTTTCCAAATAGACCGTAACGAATCAATGATGAAATTAAAATTTTAATATTTTGAAGTATTCCATAATATTTCGAGATATATTACAATATTTCAATACATTTGCACAATTATTTCAGATTGTTTCAAGGTATTTCAAGATACTTTGATATAATTCAATCAATGTTTTAGAAAAGTAATTTTTAAATTTTTTATTCTTTTTCATTATGTTTACGAAACGGGTTGAAATATTTCCAAACCACGTCGAAACGTTTCTATTTTCTAGGTGATCAAAACAATACACCGAAACGAAATTTTGATCATTGGCCTTCACTTGGTATATACATGTGGGATACAGTGACAAAAAAAAAGAGGATTGCAATATATTGCAATGATGATGTACATGAAATTCTTGTTTATCGATGGAACAAAAACAACACTCCCCTCCATTGTCTAGCCAATTAATTGAATCCAAGGCGATTTCAAATTCTTAGACTTTTTCCCCTTATTCATAAACTATTTCTTCTTTATATTATTTAAAGGCACTCTTGCAATCACTGGCTTCACAAGGATCCTACTCGAGTTCCCCCCACACAAAGATATGGAGGTTTACGTAGAACAAGTGAACTACATAAAAAAAAATATGCTTCTACTCTAGAATAACGTGCAAAGGTAAATGAGATATTTGGCATCTCAACGAAGTCAGGTGTGTTTGGGGATATTGACTCAATTCATGATTGCTATGGAATGGATCCTAAAAATTAGGGGGTCGTCAATGTGGCAAGTGCACATTTGCTTCAAAGTCTAGCTTTGAAGCTACTTTTGCAACATTCTTCTTCATCATGCTGTGAGAGGAATTGAAGTATTTATTCTTTTGTGCACTCCGTGTCAAGGAATAAGATGACACCAAAACGTGTCGAAGACTTGGTATTCATTCATAGCAATTTCCCTCTTTTATCAAGAAAAACCCCACAATGTTTGAAAAAAAAAACTAAGATGCAGATATTACCAGAGATTCTTTTGATTCATTTGAGAATTTATGAGAGCTTGAGATTGCACTGCTTTCACTCGATGAACCGGAGTTGGAGGCCATGGTCTTGACTAAGGATGGTTAAAGAGAAGGCAGTGG